CTGCCGCGGAAGGGATGCTCTCTGGGCACTTCAGCAGGGCCGCTGAGGACGTGAACAAGCATCCCGATCGTGGAATTAAACAGAGTGCTGTTCTGCGCGCGGGGTGACAGGGCTAGACCTAGGGAACTGCTTACCAAAAAAGAAAAAATAATCCAAATCGTACAGAAGAAAAAAAATCTCTGCCAAATAGTTTCACTTCGCATCAAATTAACAAAATCTGCACGAAGCTCAAATCTAAATGCCAGGGGGGAAAAGACACAGACCGGCAAATAAACTGAAGCAAAGGAAACGATGCGAATAATTAGTCACATTGCGATGTATTTAAAAAGTGAGAACTGAGCCTTTTTTTGTTTGTTTGTTTCCTTAATGTTCATAGGAGTCTTTTACTAGAAATCGGTTTCAGGTTTAGATCACTCTCAGACGCAATTATAAATCCCGGAATACCGAGAGAAAGAAGGACACGGAGAAACCGAGAGTAAGCGCTAACGAGGATATTCTTTCTTGAGGAAAAATAATGTGTTCCTCGTAAACGGACCTTAATGGCTTGTTTTCATTTCATGCGTACAATTTCCTACCTTCTTTGATGGAGGGTTGATGGGGTAAATAGTCTAATCTTATTCAGTTCACCTCCTGTGGATTCTCAGTGACAGTCGTGACAGACGAAGTATTCTGCAAATCACAAGACCCAGCTACCAAGACAGCCAAATGTCTTAATAGGAAGAGTTTTAGGGACTTGAAACTACTCCATTTTAAATGTAAGGAACATGCAAAATATAAAGTTCTCCATATCATCACAATTCGGTAGTGTTTGTTTTCTAAGCTAGCAAAGGAATGAAGAAAAGAAAAGAAAAGAAAAGAAAAGAAAAGAGAAAAGAGAAAAGGGCTTTAAAAGCAAGTCAGAACACCTACCAGACCCGGGGATTTGAGATGGCACTGGTCATTAACGTTTCCACCTCCTGGCTTGTTTAAAAACAAAAAGTGATGCCTGCCTGCATCTGAATATGCAAAAAAATGTTTACAACATTCACGCGTCCTAGTTCCGCCAGGTGATCTAGGAAAAGAGAAAAAAATAGTTCATTTACTCAGCAGAAGACGTTGTTGCTTCACTGTTTAGAGCTTTAATCGGAACAACGCGTACTCCTCAATGCTCCTTCAGTTCTCCGAGCAGAGGATGCAAGACTCAAACCGTGCCACAAAAACATTTGAGGGGGAAGTTGCACGACTGTATTGGAGTTTATTTTTTTAAGCGCTTCCTAACCAATTCGAAGCATTAATAATGAATCTGAGCTCCAGACAGAGGAAATCGCACCCACTAATGTGAACTAACACGAGCAAAGTAGGTGCATAATAGACAAGGCTAGGAGCTGCTAACCACTTCTGCACAATGGCATTAATAAGATTAACCTGGGCAATTAGCCGGTGCAGCAGAGATCAAGCCTAAATCTGGGGCCTTTCAAAAAAAACCTCACTAATGGAAAGGATTAGGTTAATTTCATTAATTCTCAATACACAGACCCAAGCTCCTTTCACTCCTTTGTGTAACCCCCACCTCTCCCCCACCGAAAGGGGAGGGGGGAGAGGAATCAAATCTGGTTTTGTTTGTCATCTGCATATTACCAGGAACTAAATCCAGGATGACGTCGCCTGGGTATAAAAAAGGGAAGAGGTTCAGATGGATTATACTCCATGCAGCCCTCTGGGTTGAGATCAGTAAACAGGCGAGAGTTGAGGGGGGAAAGTTCCAGGGGTGGATCCTGCGCGCACGCACACACGCGCACACACACGCACACGCACACAGGCACACGCACTCACACACTCACACTCACACTCTGCCCGCGAGCTGCCCTCGGAAAAAGCCCCGCTCCTTTCGCTCCGATCCCTTTTTAAAAATTCTCCGAAAAGTTTCGATTTCGTGGCTCTCCAGCCCCCCCCCCCTCCTCCCCGCCACCACAACCACCACCTACCCTCCGTCCCCT